AATTAGAGACAGTTTTCAGTTTCGGTATCTTATGGCCGCTACTCCCGTGAAAATGCACCGATTGACCCCAAATTCACGGAGATGAAAGATGACCCGAAGGGTAACACTTTCCATTAATATTATTAGTTAAGTCTGTGTGGTGGCTGAATAAGACCGCAAATAAATTTTTTTTCGGCAAAAATTTTGTTTTTTTGAAAATTTTGGCCCGTTTGACCTTGAAATACAGGTCAAAGGTCAAATCCAAGGGCATATTTGAAATCTACACATATGACTTTTGGAAAGCTGTCTGTAGAAATTTTTCCCATAATTCCTTCCGTAGGGGAGATAATTAGCATTTAATTTTGCCATTTTTGGACAAGGGTGCATTGCAATGAGTGCCACACCTAGACCCCAATACTGACAAAGCCCAAATTTTACGTGGAACGAGTTGAGATTATAGGTGACCTAAATCCAAGAGATGGGTATGGAGGCCCGTACCGTCTAGGAGGAGAAGCGGTAACGGTGACTTGGCGGCGGAGCCGCAGGAGCCGGCAGAGCCGGCAGAGCCGGCGGAACATACAGGTCGGGACTAAAACCATGTGTACCGCTAGCGCCTACGCTGGTGGTACAATAACACAAGACAAAGTCGAACATATTCTATAACTTGTTCTTCTAGTGGACCACACTCCTGGAAGACATAACACAAGACAAAGTCGAACATATCCTATAACTTGTTCCTCTAGTGGACCACACTCCTGGAAAAAATAACAGAAGACAAAGTCATATATATCCTATCCCTTGTTCCTCCAGATGGCCACATTCAGGGAAGACATAAAGTAAGACAAAGTCAGATATATCCTATAACTTGTTCTTCTTGTGGACCACACTCCTGGAAGCATAAGGTATGACAAAGCCAGATATATCCTATCCTATTTTACTCCATTTCTGAGATATGTCCTATCCCTTGGTAATGACATTTAGTAACACTTTTGAGCTAAAAAAAGAAAATGATATTTGACAAAGTATATCTGCACAGTGGAAATGTGTTAAAAACCTAAAAAAACACTTCACCATGGCGTTCTTCTTCAATCCAATTTGCCATTGGCTGCATAAGAGGACAACAGGCAAAATACCCTTGGAATGACGACACCTAATATACACTAAACAGAACATATATATTTAAGTCCAATATAAGATAAACCGGCCATTCTCACCTTGACAAATATGGCAAAGAACATGTCACTGCTGAGCTCCTGGACCTGTTTGGAAGCATTCTTCCTGTCATTGCAGTGCTCTGCCTGTCTCTGTATGGACTCCTTGGACTTCCTGGGAGGGTCACAGTAGCCTGGAATATAGAGTGTTCTGGTGATAAAAGGTACTGGTTTGACATGGGACTTTGGCATATAAGTAGCATTAAGACAACATCATACACCAAAGGAGCAGTTTGTGCTATAACACCCAGCAGTCTGTGTTCTATGACATAGAACACTTTCCCAGCCAGGCCCCCAGCAGTCTGTGTTCTATGACATAGAACACTTTCCCAGCCAGGCCCCCAGCAGTCTGTGTTCTATGACATAGAACACTTTCCCAGCCAGGCCCCCAGCAGTCTGTGTTCTATGACATAGAACACTTTCCCAGCCAGGCCCCCAGCAGTCTGTGTTCTATGACATAGAACACTTTCCCAGCCAGGCCCCCAGCAGTCTGTGTTCTATGACATAGAACACTTTCCCAGCCAGGCCCCCAGCAGTCTGTGTTCTATGACATAGAACACTTTCCCAGCCAGGCCCCCAGCAGTCTGTGTTCTATGACATAGAACACTTTCCCAGCCAGGCCCCCAGCAGTCTGTGTTCTATGACATAGAACACTTTCCCAGCCAGGCCCCCAGCAGTCTGTGTTCTATGACATAGAACACTTTCCCAGCCAGGCCCCCAGCAGTCTGTGTTCTATGACATAGAACACTTTCCCAGCCAGGCCCCCAGCAGTCTGTGTTCTATGACATAGAACACTTTCCCAGCCAGGCCCCCAGCAGTCTGTGTTCTATGACATAGAACACTTTCCCAGCCAGGCCCCCAGCAGTCTGTGTTCTATGACATAGAACACTTTCCCAGCCAGGCCCCCAGCAGTCTGTGTTCTATGACATAGAACACTTTCTCAGCCAGGCCCCCAGCAGTCTGTGTTCTATGACATAGAACACTTTCCCAGCCAGGCCCCCAGCAGTCCGACATAGAACACTTACCCAGACAGGCCCCCAGCAATCTGTGCACAATGACATCAGCATACCTCCTAATGGGGGAGGTGAAGTGAGTGTAGAGAGGAACACTGAGGGCATAGTGTCTGAATGCGTCCTCATCATCAATACAGCCAGTGCAGAAATAACGGGCAGTCTGAAACACATGGTGGAAAATATTTCACTCATTTCATTGAACAATGCTTTAAAATCTTCCTCTCATTAAAATTTGATGCCAAAAATACAGCAAACTAAGAGAGAAATGTTAATATGTTGACAATTATAACAGTATCCATTCAAAATGTCCATTAAGTGCCTACCCATACCTGTCCACAGAAAAATCTCTGCCCCCTAATCCCCCTCCCACCCCTCTAAGACAGAACTTTCCTTCTGATCACTGGTTTAATTAGTGTTATACATGTAACTTACCCCCAACCCACCCTAGCCATGTTGCATGTATGCACAGCACACACAACATGTGGTGCATGTACACACACAGTTACTCTTTCTGACACACACACAAACAAACACACATTCTTACTCTAACTCACAAACACACACACACACTCTTACTCACACATACCCCTGCAGTCACACATGTGCACACACACACTCACACACACACACACACACACACACACACACACACGTACCCACCTGCATTGGCTTAGAGCAGAGGACAGTGAGTATCTGTGTTTTGGCCTTGGACCAGATATCATCATCACAGTAGGCTGCCAGGGACTCCTGCAGGGCCCCCGAACTACTGGCATCTATGGGGATGCCCATGTTACTGCAGAGCTCCACCTGAAATCAAAGTATACAGAACTAAAATATCAAATTATAATTTGTGTTCTTGTAAAAATTATCAAACACAGCCTCTCAGTTTACAATAATTATGATATCAATAAACCAAGTGTGTAGGACATACCAAAGATTACCCCTCTCAAAGAAATGTTCAGTGATAAACGTTAATAATATTCAATTATACTATAGAATGCATTTCAGTATGAGAATGTTACTGCACAGCTCAGCCTGAAATAAGTTTAAAACACGTGGTATATTAATAAAGTGTGTTATAGTATGGCATTTCACATATATTAAAGATACTACTTCTGTATGGGAAAGTCCATGTTACAGCAGAGCACTGTCAATCTAAAATCAGAACCTAAAATGTCAACTGCAGAGTATAACCTAAAATCAGAACTTTATTACCAAGGTTACATGGTCACATCTTACCCAATCAGGTACAGTGTTACAGCACTCTCTTATGGAATTCTTAGTCAAGTCTTTTTGTATATGAAACTGGAGCAAGTACCTACCAGATCATTCACCATCTTTGTCTGTGGTGGCGGATGGCGTCTAAGCAGAGACTTCTCGGGATAGCTGCTGTATATCTTGTGCGCTACAGCCATGTTGGCCAGCAACATAAACTCCTCTATCAGTCTGGAGAGAGAAAATCATGTTAGGAGCAAAGAGCTTGTTTTAAGAAAATGTCCACTTGGTCCCACAGTTCAGTCTCTATAACATATTCTTTTATCAAAATGGTATCACTCTTTAAACTATATAAATCACAAATGTATAGTAGTACTCTCCAATAGTGTTGTAATTATTTGTATTGTGTCTGATTGTATCGTTTCGCATTGTATTGTATTGCACTGCTTTGTTTTGTGTTGTATTGTTTTGCATTGTATTGTTGTGTATTGTATTGTAATGTGATGCATTGTATTGTACCTGTTGCTGTCTTTTTGCTGATAAACAGAGTAGCCACAGGGCAGTCCTGTCTCTTTATCCAGGACATACTGCAGCTTGACCTGGTCAAGACGGAGGGCGCCATTGTCAAACCGCCTGCGCCTCAGATTTACAGCCATCTGATATCAAAGATGAAAATAATACATTTGTTTTTCATTATATGTTTCACTGCTGAGCATTGGTTCAAAAATGTGGTAAAAAAATCTTCACTGTTTACTGCTGTGTGCATTTTAATGTGTGACTAGAGGCAATTTTACTGAATAGCCCATAGAACAAAGGCCTTGTGCAGTAGCAAAAGAGTCCAAACTTTGGACCCTGACCATCAGTGTCACAGAACGTCTCTCTTTATATTAAACTCATTTAAAGAAGTAAGGCCAAAATGTGTCCAGGACAACTTTCTCAGTAAATAAAGAAAAGTTAGACACCACCCACTTTCTGCAAATCCAGGACTTTCTGTTTGATCTGGTCTATTGTAAAACCCTCACTGATTGGTGGAAACTCTTCCACTGTCCACTCTCTGTCTGGCTCCTCTATAAAACTCTGAAAAAACAGATGTCATATGTTTGTATTAATCCATTTCAATACAAGTTTTTTTTAAAATGACTATGACCAAATGAATTCATATGTACATAAAAAAAAAAACAATAAGTTACAGTGATCCTTAAACAAATGTGATCCTTAAACAAATCATTACATATTTTCAATTCCATATCCAAGTTTAAGTATCCAGTAACCATGGGGCAAGAATTTAATAGAAAGAGAAAATGACTAACTTGGCATCCTTCAAAATTTCAAAATAATGTAATTTTAAATAAGTTTCAACATTTCCTTCAGCAATGCTGCAACTTTCAGAAAACCATGATGCTGACAAATGAACAGCTTTTGAAAGGGGTCTAAAGGAAAGTTGCAATTACACTAGTTCAGAGTCTCGGTTATGTTCACTGTTACATAAAGTCTAACAGTAACAACACAAAGAGTAACTGTAACAATAACTAACACTGCAGCATTGTAAGAGTAAGCTAACTGGTATACAAGTCATAACAATGTTATGAAAAATCTAACAATTTAACGTACTAGGCATAGTTTACATTAACTATGTACCTGAGCATGCTCATAGCTAAGCTTTACACAGGACCTGATGATTGACCTTCCAAACTTTTCATCTAGAATCTGTAAAAATGAAATAAAAAATAAATAAAAGTTATCTAATATTACATTTGGTAACATTATTTCTATTAACCTGCATTTGGATAGTGATGTGTAAATAATGATCAGAAACCTTTAAATAAAAGCATCAGATTTTCAAAACCACTTCTTAATGAATTATGATGGACAAATAAATATCATAGGCCAGTTTTGATCAAGGACATTGATATTCTGGCTATAGATTGTCTCCTACCTCCCCTTCCTCTGTTATCTTCCAGACCACTGAGAATGTCAGCCTGTCCTCATCTGGGTTTAGACTACACAGCTGTTCACACAAAAGCCTGGGCAACATGGGGATTACCTGGAAAACAATAAGAGGAACTGTTCACTAGATCTTTGCTCTACTTCCTCACTCTTTGCCTCTATCTCGACCCAATCTCTTTCCCTTTATATCCTCCAAATCTTCATTTTTTCTTTCTATGTTTCTTCTACCTTATTAGGTCCCCCTTCCTTCCTCCCTCTCCCTCCTTCCCTTCCCACCTCTCTCACCCCCCCCCCCACCCCCCCTCCCCCCCAACACACACACCTTCTGTACCAGGTAGACACTGGTGGCTCGCTGGCTGGCCACTGTGTCCAGTTCTACCCCCTTCTCCTCCCCCCCAACACCCACACACACACACACACACACACACACTCACCTTCTGTACTAGGTAAACACTGGTGGCTCTCTGACTGGCCACTACGTCCAGTTCCGTCCCCTCCAGGACAAAGTAGCTGACATCTGCTATGTGCACACCTACTTCATACAGACCTGTAACACAAATGTAAAATACATTCTGATGGAAAGTCATCTGTTTAGTCTGTTGATCAAGATAATAAATGTTTTACAATTGTAAGATCAAACTTTTCATTTACAACACTAAATTAAAGCTGCATCTTTCATTGGTCTTTGAGTGTCACCAAAAGCTCTGCAAGTACAGCAGCTTTAATTTAGCCTAGAAAAGTTTAATCTTATTATAAGTATAAAACATGTCAACTGTACAAACATATACAATATCCAACTGAGTCAATTGAAACATACTAATGAATATCTTGAACCAGTACTCAATGAGCAACATGACAGCAATTCCTTCTTTTGAGATAGGTATAGTAAAAGGGTCTTATCATCTCCAGGCAATATTAACATTTTCAGACCACCATCCAGATCTATGGCAGAACAAGAAATGTATACTCAATGTTACAGTACCTACCATCTCTCAGTGGTTTACAGTGCAGAGCATCATCCAGATCTCTGGCAAAAAGTGTATAATCAATGTTACAGTACATACCATTTCCCAGCGGTTTACAGTGCAGAGCATCATCCAGATCTCTGGCAAGAAGTGTATAATCAATGTTATAGTACCTACCATCTCCCAGTGGTTTACAATGCAGAGCATCATCCAGATCTCTGGCCGTGGCAGGATCTATGGTGAAGACACACTCCTCCCTGAAGTCCATGGCTCTCCTGGCCTCCAGCTCACACTGTGGTATGGACCAGGGCAGAATCTGGGGCAGACAGGACAAAGCCTGGAGATGCAACAAACCACGTGTACTTTAAATAATCTACCTTGAATATATTATGATCAAAACTAAGTTGAACTGTGTAGTGGTATTAACCAGGGCAGAGTTTGTGGCAAACAGGATAAAGCCTGGGGACACAACAAACCATATGTACTTACTAATATACCTTGAATATGTGATCATAACTAACTGATGTCTGATTCTGGGAGTGAACTCTCAGTAAAGTTCAAATTTGTGTACTATTTTGGTGATATTACAGAAAATTGTGCTCATTAAAACTGCTGATGATGTCACAGATGATTGTGTACAGTACTCAATTTCATTGCAAGTTGTGTGCAGTATTTTCATGATCTCAATGTTAGTTGTATACTGTTTTCTGATGACTGATCTCCACTCTGTGGGTAGTTTCAATGTGTGTGTATGTGTGTGTTTGTATGCATGTGTGCAAGTGTGTGTGTGTGCTCGTGCATGCTTGTGTGTTTCAGTACAAAAGCATACATGCAAGTGTACATGTCCTTGTAAAAAAACCAGATACAATTACATTTTTACTTATGATGAAGAGTTGAAACACCATTCGACTCAGGTAGAAACATGTCTAGTCTCTTCAAAATTATTTATTGCTTCATCAACAATTACAATAATTATATCAAACCTTCTCTGTTTGTCATTGTTCGTCCCTCATTTACCTGCTCTGAGAATTCACTGTAGTCCACTCCATATTGTATCAGTATTCCCTCTGTCTCCGGCTCTATCTCCCCGGCCTCACCAAGACTTCTTAAAAGGGAGCTGATACAGATAAATACAAAATAAATATTTTGGATAGTACTATTGAATGAAAGTTCAAATACAAGTAATTGCATGAAGCCTGAAGATTGGCAGCATATTTCAAAAGAAAGTAAACTCTACATGTAGATATTCACTTGTAAGTTAAATGCTAGCAGCAAATTTGTCGCTTTTTACTGATCAACAGCAACGTACATTCATCCCTTAGGAAGCTGTGACACTTTATCCCACTCTGTGATCAACAACACTTTACACTCACCCCTTAGAAACTGTGACACTTCGTCCCCCTCTGTGATCAACAACACTTTACACTCACCCCTTAGAAACTGTGACACTTCATCCCACTCTGTGATCAACAACACTACACTCACCCCTTAGGAAGCTGTGACACTTCATCCCACTATGTGATCAACAACACTCTATACTCACCCCTTAGGAAACTGTGACACTTCATCCCACTCTGTGATCAACAACACTANGCATAACTTCGTATAGCATACATTATACGAAGTTATACGATGGTTTTCCACTTATCGTGTTATCGGTTAAAGTGCACGGCGACGGCGACGGCGACGACGGCGACGACGGCGACCGCGACGACAGACGCAGATGATGGCTATATGTACAGACACATCTGTGTCTGTACATAAAAATAATTTAAATAATTAAAAAAAAAATTATAATAAAAGAAATTAACAGTATGAAACAAACAAATGTCAACAAGCATTACATTACTTTTTACTGAGTCAGACAATAATTGAAAGTGTTCAAATAAATGAACAAACCATGAATGAATGTTTGCTATTGAATGAAGGTTCAAATACAAGTAATTGCATGAAGCCTGAAGATTGACAACACATTTCAAAAGAAAGTAAACTCTACATGTGGATATTCTCTTGTAAGTTAAATGCTAGCAGCAAATTTGTCGCTTTCACCCAAGTTACTGATCAACAGCAATGTATAGTATACTCACCCCTTAGGAAAACTGTGACACTTCATCCCACTCTGTGATCAACAACACTCTATACTCACCCCTTAGGAAAACNAAACTGTGACACTTCATCCCACTCTGTGATCAACAACACTCTATACTCACCCCTTAGGAAACTGTGACACTTCATCCCACTCTGTGATCAACAATCTACACTCATACCTTAGGAAACTGTGACACTTCATCCCACTCTGTGATCAACAATCTACACTCATACCTTAGGAAACTGTGACACTTCCTCCCACTATGTGATCAACAATCTACACTCACCCCTTAGGACACTGTGATACTTCATCCTACTCTGTGATCAACAACACTCCATACTCACCCCTTAGGAAACTGTGACACTTCATCCCACTCTGTGATCCTTGCTACAAATAAACTTCTGGAAAAGTCCTCAGGTCTTTCATAAAACCCTGTAATGATAAGTCAACATAACTTATATAGCTGTTATCCCCAAATACTGAATTCATTTTAAATAAACAATATTCAACCAGAAAAAAAGGCTCAGGAATGTTGCAAAAATGCATCAGTTCAATTACTAATCTGTGCAAAAAAATAGCTATCTTCTTTTCTACTGTGATAACAGTCATTCTATTTCGCTTCAGCTGATCTCTCATCTTTTCAGAATGTGCACACACACACACACACACACACACACACACACACACACACACACACACACACACACACACACACACACACACACACACACACACACTAAAACTACAGTAAAGTACCTTGTGGGCAGTCTGTCATAGCTATACATATTCTTGGCACTCTAGGGTCAATGGGGGAGAACAGAGCCTTGTCCTTGTTCCTGTCCTGCATCAGTTTGATGTGACCCGTGGAAGCCCGGCTATGCTTCTTCTCTATTATATACACAACCTACAATTACATCATCAAATACTGTTCACAACTTAGTGACATCATCAAATTCAGTAAAAAAATTAGTGACATCATCAAGTACAGTATGGCAGTACAAAATTTCATTAAATAATAATAAACAGTTTTCTTTATATAAACTTTATACAAAAAATAATAATTATTATCTATTGGCTAATTAAATTTCACAGTGCAGGTAGACTGATTAAAGAACTCTTTTTAGACTCGTCAAATGCCTGTTGTGTTCAGACAAACACTTACGGTTCCTATCCTCTGCAGAAACTTGTCGTGGTTAACCTGGGCCTCCTCTTCTGAGTTGCCTTCATGGAATAAAACCTTGGCTGCTGGACTTTTCCCATCTGTGAACTGCTTCAGAGTGGTATGTTTATACCTGGGAGAACCCTTCTTCTGAGACCTGATGGGCAATCACAGTATCGTACAATGCACTGTATTCAATCATAATTATGCTTAAGTCATGTTTACTATAAATAAAATACAAATTTTTCGTTTCAGATGTAAGAATAAGACAATAATGGGGAATTTTAACAAATCTTCCACAAGCAATGAGAAAGCTTCTAATATCATACAATTTTTACATAACCCTTTCTCAAACCAACAAGAACGAAAGCAGAAAACAAATATTTGACATCATGTAAGCATGTCACTCACTTTTCCTTCTTTTTGACTGAACTGGTTGCAGTCTTCTGTGGATCAGAACTGGAAGCATCTTTGCTGGGGGTCAACACTGCATCCTGGGAAGGCTCTGAGGTAGGAACACAGGTGGCAGCACCAAGATTTACATCACTATTTGTGGCAGAACAGCTTTCCTGAGTATCTTCCAGAACCTTTGTGACTGGGGTTTTATCATTCTGTCTAGTGTCATTCAAGTTTTCACATTCTGGTATTTCACTTTCATTGTAGATGGCAGCACTGGTATCGTTATTTCCAACTGCCCCATTTTGTATCTTATCTTCCCCCTCATCTTCTTCCTCTGTGTACTCTTCCTCAACTACCACGTCTGCATCATCATCGTCATCATCAATGTAATTGTCATCGTTGTCATGGTTATTGACATCGGCCTCTAGAGTGAGTGCCTCCATTTCAGCTACCATGTTTTCCTCAAATGCTTGCACATCCTCCATAAGCACCTAAGTGATAGACAAAAAAAAAAATAATAATAACAATAATAATAATAAATGCTGGATTAACAATTCACTTTCCAACTCCCTAGGGAGACTGCAGTTATCATTAAATGTGACTTGCATTCATCTTGAACTTCTTTTTCTTCATTTCATATCAAATAAATTCAGATGTTCAAGTCTTTACAGCGTTCTCACCTTCCATTCTTCCCTAGGTTTCAATAACACTGCCACTATATCTCCATTCAGAGCTCGGTTCCTGTTCTTTATGCCATGGATATACACGTCAGACTTGCCATCCTGAAAACATCCCATATCATACAATAGACAACATTAAACCAGACTCCCTGTATCAATATTTCATTTGGCTATCTACTGGTGGAGATCTGTTCCCCTATAATCTGTCATAGTTTATGTTAAGATCATATGCATTTTTGTCTCTATTCTACTATAGTGTTGAAATTTAACACATTTCCATAGGAGGATATATGGCTTAGGAGCAATAGTGGATTCTGATTCTAAAAACTTCTTCAATATCATACTACATTTGCACCCTGCTTCCAAAATTCCTCTGCAGCATCATACTACATTTGCGCTCCAATTCTAAAAATCTTCTTCAATATCATACTATATTTGCACCCCACCTTTACAGAACAAACTGTCTTATTCAGTAAACTAAATCGTATTTGAAATCACAGTGATTATAAATCCAACAACCAAAACATTCATGCAATGACTACAAGCAAGCACTGTTATAAACCCCAGTGTACCCAGTGGCACATAATTCTACCAAATGAACATGAGTCAATAAAAACAATATACATATAGAGTGTGGCACATTTAAACCCTGTGCACCACTGGTATATAAACTCAATGTAAAATTCCATCAAAATGTTTTGCTAAGAAGAAATTACACATACAGGGTGTGGCAGGTAGGCATCTTCGAAGTTCCTGGGGTTGATTCTGATTGGTCCCTCAATCAGCTCGCCTCTCTTCAGGCCTTCTGAGACCTTCTCTACTGACCAATGAGGGCTGAATTTCTGAAATTATTATTATTATTACTATTATTATTATTATTATTATTATTATTATTGTTTGCAACAAACTGTTGCGGAAATCAAAATAAATATTCTGTGATGTCAATAAGAATGAATTTTTTTTTATCATGCATTGAAGCCTAATTCAAATTCAATGAACATAAATAAAAAGTATTCAGCAACTAAATATTATAAGAAATTAAAATGTACATTCTTAACAAGGCAGCAAAGCTGACAAATGTACAGACAAAGAACAGAAAATAAAGATGCAAATAAGTGAAAAATTAAATTTTCACAAAAAACTGTTAAATTGCCAGAAAAATTTACCAAACAGACTGCGTTGCCTATTGAAGCTGTATGTTAGACCCATGTTTCTTTCCTGTAAATTTGAG